AACATGGATGAGCCTGGAGGGCATTATGCTGAGTGAAATTGTTGTTAGTTCTGACTCATAGCAACCCAGTGTCAGGTTTCCAAGGAGCAGCTGGTGAGTTTGAACAACCAGCTCTGTGGTTCAAACAGGATTTACTATCCAGCAATGCCATACCAGGAGTGAAATTATTGTTGTTAAGTGCTGCTGAGTAGGAAATTAGTCAATCACAAAAGGACAAATATTGTATAAGACCTCTATTGAAAAGGTTTTCTTAATAAATGACACATTCTATGATGGTTATGGGGATGGAGAAATTATTCATAGGCTAGACGGCAGACACATGTTAAAATGGATGATGGAGCCAGCAATATGCAACAGAAGGGAGACTTGCAGAGGAAAGATGAAGGAGCAGTAGACACAGGGAGGAATGCAAGAGTTAAAGTGAATAGAATTAAATACTGTTAACCGATTGTACAAGAAGGGAGTTGCAATCATTGTAATGAGGCAAAGTGTATGATTTGTTGAATGTAAAACTGATGATCTGCTATGTAAAACTTCACTTACATCACAATAAAAGGCTTTGCAAAACAAAAATTGTTGTTGTTCTTGTTAGTGTTGACAAATCAGTTCCAACTCATAGCAATCCAGTATAGGGTTTCTGAGGAAAGGCTGGTGGGCTTGAACCACCAACCTTGTGGTTCCAGCAGTAAAGAGTTTACCCTATAGTGCTACACCATGACTCCCTATAAAGATTACAGCCTAGAAAACCATATAGGGCAGTTCTACTCTGTCACATGGGATCGCTATGAGTTGAATCAACTGGACAGTAACTAACAACACCACACACAAATTAATATTACCAAATCAGATAAAATAATTTCTGAATCTATACCGAAAACCTAATTTGTGTTTCCAGTTTCTGAATATGCAAAGACAAAACTGATCTACTTATTTCAAAATAACCATCTTTTCCTGTAATCTTCCCATATAATGAGAAAAGTAGGTTAAGAGAACATGTTATGGCATGAGCTACTTGTCAAAACAATTACAGTGGTCAAATGATCAAAATGCCTCTCCAACAAATTTATGATTACAGCCTAAGAGTTTAATGATCAACTCATTTATGCAACATGAATATTTTAAAGATTCTATTAAGTGTTTCTACATTCAAATTATGATTTAAATATTCTTTTAGAGAAGATTAATCTATTTTCTTTTTACTGAACTGCTCAGTTTAAAAAAACTGCATAATTGGTCATGTGTTTCTAGGTAATGATCACAGTAGACTATACTCAGCATTGCTATCATTTAATTCCTAAACTTTGTCAGCTTCTTCCTTCAGGACCATGGAATAGTTGTAGTCCACAATGTCAGTATCTCAACGGCATCCTTTTGAGGCAATAGATATTTCTGTGACTGAATCTGAGGTTTTAATTGAGAAAAACATTTACTGAAGGGGAAAAAAGGTTTTTCAGATCTGTGTTTGGAATTTGAACACTTATAGCCTTCTCTCTAGAGAAAAGTAAAGTCCATTTTCGAGTTGTCTATTTAACCCTATTAAGGGAAGGAAAAACATTCTGTTAGATTGCACTGAAATTTCAAAAATTATTCACACCATTATTCCCCTTGCTGGGTGTAATGGTTGGAGTTTTGTGTCAACTTGACTAGGCCAGGATTTCCAGAGGTCTGGCAGTTGAGATGTGCTTATTTCCATGGTGATGAAACCTAATACAGGCATGGTTGACTCTACGATGACTGGTTATGACCAGCCAATCAACTGAAGGAATGCCTGCTTCCAATATAATGGACATGAAGGAAAGTCTCTCTCTTCTGCTGGGGACCTGGAATTCTACAAGTGTAAGCTATTTCCTTGATAATAAACTTCGCTGTATATATATATAAATTTCACTGGTTTTGCTTCTCTAGAAAAGCCAGCCTAAGACAACGGAGTAATAGGGTAGAAAATGAGACCTCAATGATGTGCATTTTATTTTAAGAAGTTACTTCTGTTTCAAATTGACTACCGAGTCACTTAAGGAACTCTCATAACATAATGGTTATGAGTTAGGCTGCTAATCTCAAGGTCAGCAGTTCGAAACTACTAGCCGTTCTGCATAAGAAAGATGAAGCTTTCTGCTCCTGTAAAGATTTACAGACCTGGAAACCCTATATAGAGTCACTATGAGTTGAAACCGACTCCATGGCACATAACTACCACCACCACCACTGAGTCACTTAGGATATACTATACTATGATGACCAAAACTTTATCCTAGATATACAAATTTATTAACTCTTTTTACTCCAAATGGAAACTTGCATTGATATTGGTTATATACATAAACACATACACACATTCTTTTATACAAAAGTTACTTCTGAACTTTGATGCAGCATGTCAAAATACTTTGTTTCAACCCTGTAACATCAATGTTCTATGGGTAGATACATAGATACAAAAGCTGAATGGGTATGGGAGGGAGAGTGGGAGTATATACCCACAAATACGTCAGGGTTTGACAGAGAATATTTGTGCATGAGTATCTACCTTTGCTGCAAACACACTATGAATGTGGTGAAGCATACATGGGGCAAAATGATGAAAACTTCTTAGACCTTACCAAATACCTTGAGTCAATAAGTTATGGGCCTGGAGGCTCCAGACCATCTTGGTCAATTGGCATAACATAGTCCAGACAGACAATGTTCTAAATCGTACTTTGGTGAGTAGTGGCTGGAATCTGAAAAGCTCATAAGCGGCCATCTAAGATACACCTACTGATCTCTCCATGTGCAGAAGAAAGATGGGTAATGAAAACTGAAGATACTGGAATCAATTAGTCCAATGAACTAATGGAACACATGAACATCAGTCTTCATGACCCTGACTCAGTACAAAAGAACTAGATGGTGCAAACCTCAAAATTAAAAAATAAATTTAAAAAGAGCAGACTTACTGATTAGAAGAAACTAGAAGAACCCTAGACTATGGCTGTTGGCCATCCTTCAGTTTTGGAAAGAACTCACCCTGGTGAACCAATTTTCAGTCAAGCGGTAGGAAGCTATATAGAGGACAAGGCATGCTCATAGTAGAATGGTCACCTATTCAAGATCAAAAGGGCAATATTTACATAAGGACAAAGTTCAGAAGGGTTAAGAAGGAGGATAGAATGGAAATAAGAACCACAGGGAAAAAGTGGGATAACTTGTTATATGGAGGGAATTGCAATCAAGATGAAACAAAGTGTATGGTTTGTTGAATGTGAAAACTGATGATCTTCTCTGTGAACATTCACACAATTCACAATAAAACGTTTTTTAAAAAAAATACCTATGTTTATTACCTTGGAATTTTATCTTGCAAGTCAGTGCACTGGAAGCTTAAAATATTGAACACAGCTTCCAAGTTATTGCTGAGACACTCTGGAAAACTTGGGAAGCAAGCCTCATAGATTCATGGAGTCAGAAAAACACCTGGGTCTGAACCCAGGCAGGCTCTGCTATTTACAAGTAATTCTGGGGGTGGGGAAAGTTCTGAACATCTATGGGCTTAATAGACTAAAAGAAAAGAGTTGTACAAGGACAAACAGCTAGTAAGCAGTAGCAACTAGGTTCATATGTTTATCAGTCTCCAAACCCTGTCCTTTGTTCCCTAGCAACTACCTGCCCACCTACTGTCGTAGAAAACAAAAGAAAATTTTTGGTGAAAATGCTTCTTGAATTGCAAAGTCCTGTACAAATGTAGAGTATTATTATTATGTACTACAATGTAGCAATACAAACACTTCATAAAATGGGTCTGTGATTTGCCTTTAATGCCTGAGAACCTGGAAACAATAACGTAGTACCCTTCCAGCTCTCTTTCATCTCTTCTTGAAATTTTGCCTTGACCTCAATTTTACTTGAACTTGATAAACAACAGAAATCCAAAAGCATACTTCTACCAGTCTTTCTCAGTCCACAGTAATACAACCTTGTGCTTTTCCTAGGAATATGGGGAAAAAATATATTCTTGGGCTAACTTATTACACATACGTTTTCAGTTTACTTTATTACACGTTAAAGTCCACATTGAGGAAACAAATAAATGTCCACATTGAGGAAACAAACTAGTGCTTTGGAGAGCGCGCCCATGTTCAATTTCCGTTCCAAGTTAAATAACCCCCACATGTATTCAATATAATTAAAGCAAATCTCCGTCCTTTTGCACGGGCATGATGTACAATTTAGGACTGATTTCCCTCATGAGAATTTTATTAATTATTCACACGTAGTTACGATTCTCTAAACTATCCATCCTGGTAATAATAAACTTCTTGGAAAGATCATCAAAAGTGTTCTGTTATTAATATTGGAAATGGCAGGTGAGGGGCAAACTGGACCTCGATTGGTATCATCTGGAAAGCACTTTGCGCCCTTTTTCTAGGGAGATGCCAAGTGCTACCCTCTTAGCTCTGCGGAAGAAGCAAAAGAGTAAAGTCCAAATGGGGTTAGGATTGTCCACGCCCTGCACGACTGAATCCCGCCTCCAAAGCAAAGCCAGATGCAAGAGGAGGGGGAAAGGACTAGAACGTTGGTTGTGAGGATGTTACTTGGTCTCTTTGGTCCTAGAACTTCAACTTTTTGCCTTCGCGCTAAGGTCCCATTCACTGCCCCCTGGGACGCTCCGACGAACTCCAACTGAAACGGATTTTGGGCTCCGGGAAGCACCGCCCGAGTTAGCCGCCAAAACCGGGAGAGAAGTGGAGGCCGCGCACCTGGACCCTTACCTCCGACGGCGAGATCGCAAAGACGGCCGCGATCTTGGCGTAGAGCTCCCGGATACTAGAGAAATCCTCTATTCTGCCGGTGGCACTGCCGTGCGCAAGCTGCGTGTAGAAAACCAGCCTGTGTCTGGGAACCTGCTCCGGGGAGCTCTTGCCGCCCGTCCCTGGCTGCTGGCCCTCCACAAGTCGGGCATCCTCCTTGGCTTTAGCTTTCTTCTTTCCCAGAAGTCCCAGGGGCATCTTGTCTGACTGAAGGCAAGGGCCCACCTGTGCTGCGCACCGTCCTCTCCTCCGCCCTGCGCAATGGACTTTGCGCTCCAGCACAGCGCCTCAGCTCAGGTAAAAGCCTCTGGCCGCCGACCGGCCAATGGTGGAGGCGCTTCCGCCTGCCAGCGCCCTTTGAGGGCCCCTTCCTCCACCCCGAGGACCCAGAGCAGCCACCCGCCCTCCTTCCGGTAGCATTAGAAGGAAAGATGGGCACAATCCCTTTCCATTTTCTTCTCCATTCTCTAGAAAAAAAAAAATGACAATTTCCATAAAGGTCTCGGGATGATGAAGCTCCAAACCGCAAGTCTTAGAAAACAAACAGACTGGCCCTTCTGGAGCTTTTTCATAAACTCGTGAGGTACTCACAAATCGACCAAAGATCTTCCTGTCAGTAGTTTCAGGTCATTAGGGATAGGGATTTAGATCCAAGTCAGCCTTCACCGGCTTTCTTTGCGTCTTAACATGCCGTTTGGCGGAATTGAAGGAAAAGCTCACATACTCGTGAGATTGGTACCACATTAAATTCATGGTCAGCACACTCAGCTGGGCCCTCAACACCTCTCAGTTACCCTTACCTCAGCACACACACCCATTCACAACGTTCTCTCCTAGAGTCATCTGCCCCACTTCCACCTTCCATGTTTCTCAAAGAACTGTCTTTTACAAAGAAAATTGAGACTGTCTGGTGTGAATTGTGAACCATTAACTTCCAATCCCTGGTCTGTAACTCCACCTCGTTTCTCCAAACTCCTCTACTTTTGAACCTTGATCTGATCTCCCACCCACCCACACATTCCTTTCAAGGATCTTTCTCTTCCTCCTTCCACTCCTCCTTCCACGTGGTGTCCTTGGGTGCTCCACAAATACAAATCTCTTACTTTAACTCCCCAGGGTTCCCTCTCCTTACATTTTCACAACAAAACAAAGCAATCTCCAATTACTAGCTGAAGTTCCTAAGTCCCTTCACTGATAAATTCACTGTGACCACATTTTGCCTCAACACTCCACAGAAGTTGCTTATTATGATCAGCACTTTAAATCACCAAATATAAACAGCTCTTTTCAGACCTTGTCTAACTTGGCCTTTAATGGTAACTAACTACATTGATTATCTCATTGGTATTAAATTTTGTCTCTTTTGGCTTCCTTTCCTCCCACCTCTCCCCCTTGCCAGCTGCTTCTCTAGGAATTGTGTTTCCCAAGGCTGTTTTTCCTTGACTTTCATCTCTTTCAGGAGTCCTGCTGTGGCAGTGTGGGATAAGTTGGTTTGAACCACAAGGTCGGTGGTTCAAATTTACCAAGTTGCTCCTTGGAAAACCAATACAAGGTCCCTACAGATCGAAACCAACTTAACCACACTTAACAACAGCAATCTTCTCTTTTACGTGAATGACCGCATTTACTTTCTTGGATTCAACAGGTATTGTTGGCTACAAAACTCATATTTCCAGTTCAATTCTCCCAGAAAGGGAATGTACAAAGCAGAAGTCATCATTTCACAGAAACTTTTTTAAGTCTTGCTTTCAGTTAATAGGACCACCATGCACACAGTGGCCAAAATCAAACACCTGTGTGTCAACATAACAAGCTTCCTTTTCCTTCATCTCTCACATAAATTCAGTCCTGAAAATTCTGCTTCTCAGATTAAAGAAAGCAATTATACTTGGGTGATGAATCCATGAATTCTTAGAAAAATTCTTTAAATGTTATGTTTTATGTTACTATGATATATATTGTTGTTACATGCCATCGAGTCGATTCCGATTTATAGCAACTCTGTATAGCGTTTCCAAGGAGTGGCAGGTGGAATTGTACCACCGACCTTGCGGTTAACAGTCCAGTGCTTACCCTAAAACATCTGAGTGACTACCTGAAAATGGGATGTTGCCACAAGATCTCAGAACTAGAATTTGTCATGTGTTAACCATTGCTATGGCACCAAATAGTGGGACTGTAGAAGTCTTGGATTACTGAGAAAAGAGTAGAGGAAACTTAAAACGTAAACTATGTATCAAATGAAAGATAAGTAACTTCACAAAACATTGCGTGAATAAAAAACTCACAAAATTTGATTGGAGAGATTGGTGACCACGCTCAACACCCATAAGGGGAAGTGAGGGAAAAACAGCAATGAAGCGGTGAGCTAAGCCCTACAACATTCAATAGACTTCTGTGAA